TCGAGGGGACCCCCCTCGTAACCTCGAGGGGACCCCCCTCGTAACCTCGAGGGGACCCCCGTCGTAACCTCGAGGGGAACCCCGTGGTAACCTCGAGGGGACCCCCGTCGTAATCTGGAGGGGACCCCCGTTGTAATCTGGAGGGGACCCCCGTCGTAATCTGGAGGGGACCCCCGTCGTAATCTGGAGGGGACCCCCGTCGTAATCTGGAGGGGACCCCCGTCGTAATCTAGAGGGGACCCCCGTCGTAATCTAGAGGGGACCCCCGTCGTAATCTAGAGGGGACCCCCGTCGTAATCTAGAGGGGACCCCCGTCGTAATCTAGAGGGGACCCCCGTCGTAATCTAGAGGGGACCCCCGTCGTAATCTAGAGGGGACCCCCGTCGTAATCTAATGGGGACCCCCGTCGTAATCTCAAGGGGACCCCCCATCGCAATCTCAAGGGGACCCCCCCCATCGCAATCTCAAGGGGACCCCCCTTCGTAATCTAAAGGGGACCCCTATCACAATCTGAAGGGAACCCCCCCATCATAATCTGAAGGGAACCCCCCATCATAATCTGAAGGGAATGCCTGTCATAATCTGAAGGGAACCCCCATGATAATCTCAAGGGAACCCCCATGATAATCTCAAGGGAACCCCCATGATAATCTCAAGGGAACCCCCATGATAATCTCAAGGGAACCCCCCATCGTAATCTCAAGGGAACCCCCCATCGTAATCTCAAGGGAACCCTCCATCGTAATCTCAAGGGAACCCTCCATCGTAATCTCAAGGGAACCCCCCATCGTAATCTCAAGGGAACCCCCCATCGTAATCTCAAGGGAACCCCCCATCGTAATCTCAAGGGAACCCCCCATCGTAATCGCAAGGGAACCCCCCCATCGTATCTCAAGGGAACCCCCCCATCGTAATCTCAAGGGAACCCCCCCCATCGTAATCTCAAGGGAACCCCCCCATCGTAATCTCAAGGGAACCCCCCATCGTAATCTCAAGGGAACCCCCCCATCGTAATCTCAAGGGAACCCCCCCATCGTAATCTCAAGGGAACCCCCCCATCGTAATCTCAAGGGAACCCCCCATCGTAATCTCAAGGAAACCCCCCATCTTAATCTCAAGGGAACCCCCCATCGTAATCTCAAGGGAACCCCCCATCGTAATCTCAAGGGAACCCCCCATCGTAATCTCAAGGGAACCCCCCATCGTAATCTCAAGGGGACCCCCATCGTAATCTCAAGGGGACCCCCATCGTAATCTCAAGGGAACCCCCATCGTAATCTCAAGGGGACCCCCCTTCGTAATCTCAAGGGGACCCCTATCACACACTGAAGGGAACCCCTATCACAATCTGAAGGGAACCCCCATCATAATCTGAAGGGAACCCCCATGATAATCTCAAGGGAACCCCCATGATAATCTCAAGGGAACCCCCATGATAATCTCAAGGGAACCCCCATGATAATCTCAAGGGAACCCCCATGATAATCTCAAGGGAACCCCCCATCGTAATCTCAAGGGAACCCCCCATCGTAATCTCAAGGGAACCCCCCATCGTAATCTCAAGGGAACCCCCCATCGTAATCTCAAGGGAACCCCCCATCGTAAACTCAAGGGAACCCCCCCATCGTAATCTCAAGGGAACCCCCCATCGTAATCTCAAGGGAACCCCCCCATCGTAATCTCAAGGGAACCCCCCCATCGTAATCTCAAGGGAACCCCCCATCGTAATCTCAAGGGAACCCCCCCATCGTAATCTCAAGGGAACCCTCCATCGTAATCTCAAGGGAACCCCCCATCGTAATCTCAAGTGAACCCCCCATCGTAATCTCAAGGGAACCCCCCATCGTAATCTCAAGGGAACCCCCCATCGTAATCTCAAGGGAACCCCCCCCCATCGTAATCTCAAGGGAACCCCCCCCCCATCGTAATCTCAAGGGAACCCCCCCATCGTAATCTCAAGGGAACCCCCCCATCGTAATCTCAAGGGAACCCCCCCATCGTAATCTCAAGGGAACCCCCCCATCGTAATCTCAAGGGAACCCCCCCATCGTAATCTCAAGGGAACCCCCATCGTAATCTCAAGGGAACCCCCCCATCGTAATCTCAAGGGAACCCCCCATCGTAATCTCAAGGGAACCCTCTATCGTAATCTCAAGGGAACCCCCATCGTAATCTCAAGGGGACCCCCATCGTAATCTCAAGGGAACCCCCATCGTAATCTCAAGGGGACCCCCATCGTAATCTCAAGGGGACCCCCATCGTAATCTCAAGGGGACCCCCCTTCGTAATCTAAAGGGGACCCCTATCACACACTGAAGGGAACCCCTATCACAATCTGAAGGGAACCCCCCATGATAATCTCAAGGGAACCCCCATGATAATCTCAAGAGAACCCCCATGATAATCTCAAGGGAACCCCCATGATAATCTCAAGGGAACCCCCATGATAATCTCAAGGGAACCCCCATGATAATCTCAAGGGAACCCCCCATCGTAATCTCAAGGGAACCCCCCATCGTAATCTCAAGGGAACCCCCCATCGTAATCTCAAGGGAACCCCCCATCGTAATCTCAAGGGAACCCCCCATCGTAAACTCAAGGGAACCCCCCCATCGTAATCTCAAGGGAACCCCCCCATCGTAATCTCAAGGGAACCCCCCCATCGTAATCTCAAGGGAACCCCCCATCATAATCTCAAGGGAACCCCCCATCGTAATCTCAAGGGAACCCCCCATCGTAATCTCAAGGGAACCCCCCCATCGTAATCTCAAGGGAACCCCCCCATCGTAATCTCAAGGGGACCCCCATCGTAATCTCAAGGGGACCCCCATCGTAATCTCAAGGGGACCCCCATCGTAATCTCAAGGGGACCCCCATCGTAATCTCAAGGGGACCCCCATCGTAATCACAAGGGGACCCCCATCGTAATCTCAAGGGAACCCCATCGTAATCTCAAGGGAACCCCCATCGTAATCTCAAGGGAACCCCCATCGTAATCTCAAGGGAATCCCCCATCGTAATCTGAAGGGAACCCCCATCGTAATCTGAAGGGAACCCCCATCGTAATCTGAAGGGAACCCCCCATCGTAATCTGAAGGGAACCCCCATCGTAATCTGAAGGGAACCCCCATCGTAATCTGAAGGGAACCCCCATCGTAATCTGAAGGGAACCCCCATCATAATCTGAAGGGAACCCCCCATCATAATCTGAAGGGAACCCCCCATCATAATCTGAAGGGAACCCCCCATCATAATCTGAAGGGAACCCCCCATCATAATCTGAAGGGAACCCCCCATCATAATCTGAAGGGAACCCCCATCATAATCTGAAGGAAACCCCCATCATAATCTGAAGGGAACCCCCATCATAATCTGAAGGGAACCCCCCATCATAATCTGAAGGGAACCCCCCATCATAATCTGAAGGGAACCCCCCATCATAATCTGAAGGGAACCCCCCATCATAATCTGAAGGGAACCCCCATCATAATCTGAAGGGAACCCCCATCATAATCTGAAGGGAACCCCCATCATAATCTGAAGGGAACCCCCATCATAATCTGAAGGGAACCCCCATCATAATCTGAAGGGAACCCCCATCATAATCTGAAGGGAACCCCCATCATAATCTGAAGGGAACCCCCATCATAATCTGAAGGGAACCCCCATCATAATCTGAAGGGAACCCCCATCATAATCTGAAGGGAACCCCCATCATAATCTGAAGGGAACCCCCATCATAATCTGAAGGGAACCCCCATCATAATCTGAAGGGAACCCCCATCATAATCTGAAGGGAACCCCATCATAATCTGAAGGGAACCCCCATCATAATCTGAAGGGAACCCCCATCATAATCTGAAGGGAACCCCCACCATAATCTGAAGGGAACCCCCATCATAATCTGAAGGGAACCCCCACCATAATTTGAAGGGAACCCCCACCATAATCTGAAGGGAACCCCCACCATAATCTGAAGGGAACCCCCACCATAATCTGAAGGGAACCCCCACCATAATCTGAAGGGAACCCCCACCATAATCTGAAGGGAACCCCCACCATAATCTGAAGGGAACCCCCACCATAATCTGAAGGGAACCCCCATCATAATCTGAAGGGAACCCCCATCATAATCTGAAGGGAACCCCCATCATAATCTGAAGGGAACCCCCATCATAATCTGAAGGGAACCCCCATCATAATCTGAAGGGAACCCCCATCATAATCTGAAGGGAACCCCCATCATAATCTGAAGGGAACCCCCATCATAATCTGAAGGGAACCCCCATCATAATCTGAAGGGAACCCCCATCATAATCTGAAGGGAACCCCCATCATAATCTGAAGGGAACCCCCATCATAATCTGAAGGGAACCCCCATCATAATCTGAAGGGAACCCCCATCATAATCTGAAGGGAACCCCCATCATAATCTGAAGGTAACCCCCATCATAATCTGAAGGTAACCCCCATCATAATCTGAAGGTAACCCCCATCATAATCTGAAGGTAACCCCCATCATAATCTGAAGGTAACCCCCATCATAATCTGAAGGGAACCCCCATCATAATCTGAAGGGAACCCCCATCATAATCTGAAGGGAACCCCCATCATAATCTGAAGGGAACCCCCATCATAATCTGAAGGGAACCCCATCATAATCTGAAGGGAACCCCCATCATAATCTGAAGGTAATTCCACCATACTGAGATCACTGAAGTCATGTGACAATCTGTTATCAAGTGTATGAAGCAAAACTGATCACCGAGAAACTAAAATAAACTGACCACAGAGCCAGCACAAGTTAGCCTGGAGTCTGAACAACCAGTACCTGCCAGGTATAATGCAGGTACAAGTTTGTTCTAGGTAAGGCAACTCTCTAAATGCGGTAACAGGGTCTTATGAATCGTTTTTTTTTTTTATATTTAGTAAAAGGTTTATGCATTTTTACCTAAAAAATATTTGTATAATAAGAATTAGCAAACAAAGCGCCGACGCACCTTTGTTTTGATTCCGTTCGTAGACATCATAGACGATCGAAGCTGAATGACTCTCGTTGACTTCTAGGATAGGTTAGGTGGGGTTAGTAAGTTCGAACCAATTTAATATCTTGTCTCCCAATTACCACCTAACAATAAGAATCCCCACCTAACCTATTTTACAGAGAAAATTACCTATCATTTGATATGCCAGCTATCTAAATTCACAGGAAAAAATACCTGATACTGATTTTATAATCAATTAAATATTGTATTTAGATTTTATATCTCTGTATTGTAATTAACTTTTACACTGACTTCAATCTACACCAGTTCATTTTAATCTATCACTGACCACTTTATTTCATACTTGTCAAGCATTTAGTTACATTTTACTTGAATACAGGACGTCTAGTAGTCCTGATGATTTCAAATTCATTTTTTCTATACCTTATTTTTAAAAGAATATTTTAAATCATGCTTATTTTGGTCCAATTAGCCTACTGCAGTGCTCTTCTCTTCTTCCTTGGCACACAAAGAAAAACCTCAACCATCTAATAACAAAACACACTGTAGTACATGAAAACAAGTTATTACCTATTTCCTCAACAATATGCTATAAATATTAATCAATTACATACTTTAATGATATTTCAATTGCTATAAAATAAAAGCCACTCATATCTATGGCTCAATAGTGATTTTTTTTTTTCAATAATGGGGCCATACATCTAACACTACACTTATGGGATTCTTGTCCCCCATATAGCTGCATGCCGAAACATATCACCGTACAGACGTAATACAATGCTCAAATCTAAACAGATTTTTTATTCAAATACTGTTGTTAAATTAGCTATAGCCTGCACTTGGAAATAAAACAGAAATGTTCAAAATGTATTTAGGGTAATAGCTGGACCTATGACAATACATGTATTATTAGGTCTTGCATCACACTGGTGTAAATAAATTTTGTAACATAAGAATATGTACTTCAAGAAGAATTCCTACATCTGTATCGGCGTGAATTTTATAGTAGTACTGTACAGTATGGTACACAAGACTAGATGAGCGCTAGTTTGAAGTAACTCATGATAACGCAAAATGGGAGCCAATGTTAATATTTGAAATAAATCACTAGTAAAGTAAAAACAATCCAGCATTTTATCTGAAAGGAAATCATACAAAAACTTATACTGTATCTGCAAATTCTTTAATAAAAACAAAATTACAGAACTGTATTTACACTGATTAATTCACTATCAGGTAGGTAGGAAGGGAAGCTTGAAAATTTACAGCCCAGGGACCAGAAGGTCATTCATTATTACATGTCGTCCAAGTCAATGATATCTAGGGAGGGAAAAATTTAATACTGTACTTTTACTTTGTATCTACAGTATTTACACACAGTAAGTTTTGTCAAATAAATTTCATCTCTAAGGAAATAAGAGAATGTCATGAGTTTGCTATTTAACTGGAAATCTGTCAGGTTTAGTTGGCCATAGCCTGGTGGAGTTGACTGAGGCCAATAATACCATTCAGCTGTTGTAGGAGGCAGTGGGCAAGACCAATACTATAACAGTTTTGGTGTTGATGTGACAGAGGCCAATAGCATGCAGCAGTGATAAGGAAAGTTGGTGGAGGCCATAACTGTCACACAAGCTGAATTAAGCAGCAGGATTTTTTTCCGTTGACATTCTCCAAATTATATAACAAAATTATTAGGCTAAATTAATGCATGCAATCTTGGCCATTTTAGTATTGTATACCATTCATGTACAAGATTTCATATACTGTACCCATCTAATGTATTTTTCAAAAATAATTTCTACAAGCACCCATTACCTCGTATGCCTCTACCAATCACAGCATTTTGCCTGAAACGGTGTTCAAATATGGGCTTCCCAAAACTGCACTACATCACTTTTTAACGTGTCATACATAATGAAAAGTGTCGACAGTATAAAAAAAAAATCATTATTAAAATACTTAGCACGTAATAGCCTACTGACTAATCAAATACTTCGGTACTGTAGCTATGCCGAGTCTGATAAAAAGATTTAAAAGGCTAAAAGACTTAAAAAGAAAAGACAGTACACAGAACTAGCAAGACAATGTGTAGTTATGTATTAGCAAGTATGGAAATCAGCAATTCTGAACCTTAAGTGAACTGTAACTATATGGTGTCCATCTGTTTTTTTTCAATTTCAAGGCAGGAAATAAAATATATATACAGTATATATATTAGATATGGCCAGTGACATTATTCAAACTTGTATATCCATCCACCAACATTTCTCATTCAGCACACTTTATGTATTATAAAAAAAAATGCATTTAACGTTACAAGTAAAATATTTATATCAAATTTCCAAAAATTAAAATAAAATAATCTTAATTAAAATGCATTTCCCTAAACCTCCACCATTTAAATTTCGAGAAGGATTTATAAGTAGGAAATTTCAGGTTAGTTATATCTATAAAAGTATTGAAAGGCCATGAAAAAAGGTTTTTGGGTAATAAATAGACAAAATGGACGAGCTTGAACACCGGCCATTGCAGTCTGAAGGTTCATGTGCTCCATAATGCATTAGCATCGCCGGGAACCCACATATAACCCTTTAGTTCCATATTTAACCATAAAATCAATAAATCTAGCATATTTTTCCCTCCCCGTGGATGAATCTTAGTCTCTAACGCCATTTTGAATTATCAAATCATTGGCGTACTGCTACTATAAGACAAACAAAAACACCAGCGTCTTGGATTATTTCAATAATTATCACACGCAGGCGTTCCTCACACAGCTTTTAGGCCATGGAAAACCTTCAGTGAGCATTGAGGAAGGCCCAAGAACATGGAAATAGCAGCCGCTTACCTCTTTTGTCCGACATTTCAGGTAAGAGATGGGGCAACAGCTTGGTATAGTGGTATCGTGGGAATGACTTGTTATCTGTGTCGCTATGGAGGCCACTCTCACAGAGAAAACATAAACCCAGGGAAAACGGTGCCTTCACTACCTCCTCTCAGGGGCAGACCTTCTTATTCCTTCTAGTAAGTAAGTTTATTCAGATTTGTAGATGAATGGTTCAGAGAACCGACATGTTGATAAATTAGACACATGTGCAACTCTTGGGTATCTTTATTGAGGAAACGTTTCGCCACACAGTGGCTTCATCAGTCCATACGTAGGAGAAACTTGAAGAACAGGCGAAGAATGAGGTAATCAGTCCCTCAACCTTGAGTCGATGTGTTCAGTCCATCAATCTTGAATAGAATACGGCATATCAGCGGAGAAGCAGCTTATAAACCGTATGGCAGGAGAGGTGCAGCAGTCATAGGTGGTGTTACATTTGTTCAATGTGGAAGTAGGTCGTGCCCAAGAATTAGGCAAGCGAAGAATTCCTAAGTATTAACTTCAACATGTCGGTTCTCTGAATCATTCATCTACAAATCTGTCAGACACTGCAACTTCTTGGGATCTTAATACTTAGGAATTCTTCGCTTGCCTAATTCTTGGGCACGACCTACTTCCACATTGAACAAATGTAACACCACCTATGACTGCTGCACCTCTCCTGCCATACGGTTTATAAGCTGCTTCTCCGCTGATATGCCGTATTCTATTCAAGATTGATGGACTGAACACATCGACTCAAGGTTGAGGGACTGATTACCTCATTCTTCTCCTGTTCTTCAAGTTTCTCCTACGTATGGACTGATGAAGCCACTGTGTGGCGAAACGTTTCCTCAATAAAGATACCCAAGAGTTGCACATGTGTCTAATTTATCAAGTTTATTCAGGTATACACACACATAGAGTTATCATAATTAGTAGCATATGTGTAGAAACCCTAGGATAACCCCAAAAAAGTCAGACAGAGTGACTTATTTCCACTGGGGTCCTTTCCTCGTTTTTAGATGATCAGTTGGGTGAGGGGGGGGGGGCAAGCTTATTTAAGTATAATTCAGCAGTTTCAAATCGTTATAGTTGTTTTACAGGAACATAAACCCTGAGGGAAACGGTGCCGTCACTACCATATCTTAAGGGTTTAGTTAGTTTAGTATTTTTATTATGCACACCATACCCCTCCTGTGGGTGGTAATCAAAAGATTACAGAGGTACATAATGGGTCCAGGGACTGGGCCCCAAAGTTTTGATAGCTGAGCAAGTTACAGAGGTAATGAACTCACAATTACAAAGGTAATGAACTCACAATTTACAAAGATAATGAACCTTCTTATTCATTTTGCCAGTTCTAAATATTCGCACCTCAGTAAAATAAAAAATAATAATGAAATCTTCATTTCTTATATGATCATGTGATTATATTCAGGGGCAATACCAGTATTTTTTTATATTGGGACTTAGGGAGGCAATAGAGATTATTATTATTATAATCAAAAAGAAGCGCTAAGCCAGAGGCAATAGAGAGACTTGTGTTTCCTAGAGGAAGCACAGTATCAGTAAATTTATATAATTTCTATATCATAGAATTAGATCAATTATTACATGTAACTGCATCAGTATATAACTTGCCATCAAATAATGGCCTTATTTATGAAATGATAAACAGGAAAAGCTTTATATATTCATTATATTCATTCTATTCTCAAATGAGACTCACTATAACCGAGAAGTTATAGCAACGTAAATCTTCTGTTCTTATGGTTAACAGCAAAAGCATCAATGATACCTTCAGTGTTCAGATTCTTGGCCCATTTCGAAATTACATATATAACAGTAATATCACTTGTTTTGCTATCACTATTGTTGCTTCTCAAGCTTGTTTTGTCAGTCGCAGGCAAGAAAAATTACGGTTACATGTCGTGGAATTAACTCCCCATGTCACACTAATGCTCACCAGCTTTTACATCAGGGTATGGTTTAAGCACAGTAGCACATGCAAGTGGAACTGTAGTAGTAGTAATAATAATCTTTATTTCTATAAATACATGATATACAGGCTTAGCTGACATCAATGACATACTACTATGTAGAAAGCCCCTTGTTATGCAGAGCATTTCGGGCAAATTAGGTCAATTTTGTCCCCAGGATGCGACTCACACCCAGGTACTTATTTTACTGCTAGGTGAACATGGACAGCAGGTGTCCTAAGGAAACACGTCCTAATGTTTCCACCCGTACCGGGTATCGAACTACGGACTTCAGTGTGTGAGCTGAGTGCGATACCAACCAAGCTACGGGATCTTGAGAATTCAGTGCTGATGAACTCTTTGATATAGTACACGAGTTGTTTGAAAATCGCCAATTTGATTCGTAGACTAACCTGTGTATGATAGGGCAGTAAGCACGTGTGTGTAGAATTCAGTAGTCATTTTCTGACGATGTCCAAGTTGAGAATCAACAACAAACTCATGTAAATGAAGAATAGAATGGCACAATACCATATCTGGAACAATACACAAAAAACCGGCACATAGGAGAATGAAACATGACGTTGCGGTCAGACTTGGACTATTAACTAGTCACACAGAAGCGCGAAAGGAAGAGAGCCAGTATATACACAAGAGGGGGGCGGGGCCGGGAAGAGAAGGAGAGGAGGTAGTGATATAATTGTAGAAGTAGTAGTAGTAATAGTGGTAAACTCCAGAGGTAGTGAGAGTAAATGACGCGACAAAGCTTTGTCGCACAGCACCAGCCGCTTCCTACAAATGAACTGTATCTTACACAAATGTAGTGGTATATGGGAGAAGATATTTCTGATGTGTTTGGGGATGACAATATGTTCAGTACGTTAGGCGCATACATTTACGATAGATAGATCTTTCACTGTTGACATAAACATAGAAGTTTACCTGGAGAGGGTTTCGGGGGTCAATGCCCCCGCGGCCCGGTCTGAGACCAGGCCTCATGGTGGATCAGGGTCTGATCAACCAGGCTGTTACTGCTGGCCGCACGAAGTAGTGTAATATAGTGAAAAAGGCAATCGTTATAACAAAAATTACGTGTATATACATTCATGAACACATCTATACACACACACACACACACACACACACACACACACACACACACACACACACACACACACACACACACACACACACACACACGTTAAACACGTTAAGAAATTAGAGAAAGTGCAAAGGTTTGCAATAAAGTTGGTTCCAGCGCTAAGGGGAATATCCTATGAAGAAAGGTTAAGGAAAATCGGTCTGGCGACACTGGAGGACAGGAGGGTCAGGGGTGACATGATAACAACATATAAAATACTGCATGGAATAGATAAGGAGGACAGAGACAGGATGTTCTAGTGATGGGACACAGAAATAAGGGGTCACAATTGGAAGTTGAAGACTCAGATGAGCCAAAGGGATGTTAGGAGTATTTCTTCAGCCACAGAGTTGTTAGGAAGTGAAACAATCTGGCAAGTGATGTAGTGGAGGCAGGAACCATATATAGTTTTAAGACGAGGTAGGATAAGCTCATGGAGCAGGGAGAGGGAGGACCCAGTAGCGGTCAGTGAAGATGCGGGGCCAGGAGCTGAGTCTCGACCCCTGCAACCACAATTAGGTGAGTACACACACACACACACACACACACACAAGGCACAGTACTCGCTCCCATCTTGTTCCTCATCCTCATATCCGACATAGACAAGGATGTCAGCCACAGCACCGTGTCTTCCTTTGCAGATGACACCCGAATCTGCATGACAGTGTCTTCCATTGCAGACACTGTAAGGCTCCAGGCGGACATCAACCAAATCTTTCAGTGGGCTGCAGAAAACAATATGAAGTTCAACGATGAGAAATTTCAATTACTCAGATATGGTAAACATGAGGAAATTAAATCTTCATCAGAGTACAAAACAAATTCTGGCCACAAAATAGAAACAAAACAAACCAACGTCAAAGACCCGGGAGGGGATTATGTCGGAGGACTCACCTTCAAGGACCATAACATTGTATCAATCGCATCTGCTAAAAAAATGACAGGATGGATAATGAGAACCTTCAAAACTAGGGAGGCCAAGCCATGATGACACTCTTCAGGTCACTTGTTCTATCTAGGCTGGAATATTCTGCACACTAACAGCACCTTTCAAGGCAGGTGAAATTGCCGACCTAGAAAATGTACAGAGAACTTTTAAACGGCGCCCCATAACGGAATAAAACACCTCAATTACGGGGAGCGCTTGAGGTTCCTAAACCTGAAATTCCCTGGAACGCAGGAGGGGAGAGAACATGATTATATACACCTGAAAATCCTAGAGGGACTAGTACCGAACTTGCACACGAAAATCACTCACTACGAAAGCAAAAGATTTGGCAGACGATGCCCATCCCCCCAATGAAAAGCGGGGGTGTCCCTAGCACGTTAAGAGACCATAAAATAAGTGTCAGGGGCCCGAGACTGTTCAACTGCCTCCCAGCACACATAAGGGGGATTACCAACAGACCCCTGGCAGTCTTCAAGCTGGCACTGGACAAGCACCTAAAGTCAGTTCCTGATCAGCCGGGCTGTGGCTCGTACGTTGGTTTGCGTGCAGCCAGCAGCAACAGCCTGGTTGATCAGGCTCTGATCCACCAGGAGGCCTGGTCACAGACCGGGCCGCGGGGGCGTTGACCCCCGGAACTCTCTCCAGGTAAACTCCAGGTAAAACACACACAGAGCTATGAATCGACCCCTGCAACTACAATTAGGTGAGTACAGTTAAGTGAGCACACATACAATAATTTAAGTGTTTTATAGTACACATACGTTCTGTGAAAGTTCTCTATCTATTCTCAAGATCCGCAGTTTCGCCTGCCTTGAAAGGGACCGTTAGTGTACAGCAATATTTTATCCTATAGAGAGCAAGCGATTTGAAGAGAATCGTCATGGGCCTGGCATCTCTGGTTTTTAAGGTTCTCATTATCCATCCTGTCATTTTCCTATCAGATGTGGAAAATGGTAGTATGGATAATGAGAACCTTCAAAACTAGAGATGCCAATGAATAAGTGTGAGTTGAACCTGTTTAATACAAGCCAGAAGACGTACTATAATGCTTTTTTTTATTCAT